CACGATATACAATCCCATAAGTGCCCTCTCCAATCCGATTTAATTTCTCAAAATCGTTCACACTACGACATCCACCAAAACCAATATGTTCCTTCAAATTTTGCATTATTCAATCAACATTAAGCATACACTGATCACTGATGTACCTTTACATTGGAGCTCCTTTTTTGATCATTAAAACAAACCTAAACATTTACTAAGCTCAAACGATCGAATGAAAACTTACTCTATGGATTGAATGTGGTTTCAAATCATTTATTGATATGAAATCAACTGTTGAATTCGACGAATGCGCCTCGATATCCATTGCTAGCGCAGCCACGCTGATGATGATCTCGTTTAGCACTCACTCCACTTGAAGAAACTCTTACTGGAAACGAAATACTGATGAAAATGCAGGAGTTGGATGAGTCTAGGATGTTTAGTCCCCTGACAATTAGTACCCTTAGAGCGTAGTTCACGGCTATTCAGTCCCCTGTACTTCGCTTCGGTTCGATTGGAGCAATGTGAACACATTCAATATCAACGAAAGCAATTTTGGTTCACCATTTTGTGCGCGTATTCCAAAATGCGTTCTGTGATTTATTAAGATGTACCTGGATTGGCCAGGCTATCAAACGTTCATAACGTTGCTGGCCGCAATGTTCGCAACGTTTCCGTGCGCATTGTTTTAGCCTCAATTTACGCCACTCGCTGGCTAGGCGAGTAGGCCAACCGAACACAACCGAGTAATTAATTAGTCGCCGCGAATACTTTGCATAATTAAACGCAGTCAAATACCAATTCAATAAATAATCATTACTCTAATAAAATAAATATTCCGCCGATCGCTCACTGCGATTAACGAAACAACCACTCGATGTCCAATAATACAATTGAGCAGTTACTTCCTTCAAAAAAAAATTCATTTAAGAGCCAGAAATCTCATTATGTACAGTAATTAACGAACCTGAGAAAACTTTTTAGTGCAACTGAATAATCATGATGAATGAATTCAGGAATAATCGCTCTTCTCCCGCGAAACGAAAATGATCTTCCTTTTCTGCAGCACCGAAGAACTCAGTCAATTGCTAATGCTCATGATGAACGATGTCCGCTAATATATCAAAGAACTTACGAAATACCTGTGAATACTTCCAACTAATTTTTGTTTAGGCCTAGACACGCCAAAGATACGCAAGAAATAGGACAATGAAGAGTGTTACCATGAGCAAACCGCACTTAAATAATGACAATGGCGCTCCATCATAACATAACAATTGCACGAAATTTTAGTTTGCGACCCCCTCAATTACTATCTGAGACCCCAAATTAGCCACCAGGGGATAACCCCCCCCCCCTATGAGAACCACTGTTGTAGATAATTATGCGGTAAACATGTCTATGAAAGGAATCACTACTGCAAACAACCACCTGAACACTAGATGAGCCTCACCCTTGCGGCTCAAGCTTCCTTGCGAACTGGTGTCGACCCTGGAGTAAACCTGAGGCTTTGTTCCACGGTGAACCACAACAGAATATAGTACATCAATGGTTTCCATCAGTCAAGAGGTCTAAAAAAAGGGATTTTTACGGTTCCGCTTAAGTTGAAAAAGGAGATATTTTCTGTTCTCCATCGTTTGTTTCAATGAATTCAGTCATTTGTATTAGTTCGCTTCAATGATTTGTTGATTTCCTTCGATCAGATGGTGATTCCGCAAACCCATGCTTACCGGTTGAATGCATCAATGTACGCTTGCAAAGAATTTGAAATATCAATTTCCATATATTTATTCTCAATTCTGTTCCACCTTTTGGTTTTCTGTAGTGGATCAGCTGTATTTGTTCAGAACATTTTGTTTCGTTATTGGTTCGCTGCGGGCAGTGATGCAAAATGTTTATTTTGAATGACTTTCCATGTAGTGGAAAACCATTTCTCAATATTGTAGTGCACATTTGAAAACACCTCGTGTCCATGATATTTTAAAAGAAAATTTTGCAGATTTGCATATACGCGCACGAAATTCGGGATCAGCATCTGACCTCAAGTGTCATCATCAAGAAGAAATCGAATGCAGTTGCCGATGAAACAATAAACAATACTATTGAATAAGAAACGAAACAATTTATTCATATCATACAACTAACATGAACGACCATAGTAAAAATATTCAACGGTTAACAAACGAAAAAATGAACAAAACAATTTTATGGATGTGATAAAGCGAACGAACGAACAATCAATCAAAAACATCTTTAATCAAAAACAACACAACACATTTATAGCACTATGAAGATATTGCATTAAAACTATGAAATTTGACTCAACGATAAATACTGCTGAGAATATGATACTATATATTTCTTTTGTTCTCATTTAAATAACAATACCAGCATGCATCTAAATGAATAATGTGAAAAATAACTAAACTATAAATGATTGTTACTCTTACTCCTTGTGAGAGAATAGAATCGAGAATGAGTGGAATGTGATGTGATGTGTATTATATTTCAGTTATGAAATGAACTGGTGAATTAAAAATGGATATAGTTTAATGGAATATAAAATGATTATTTACTGAAACCGAATTTGAGTTTGATCGGTGCCCTCATAGCGCCACCTTTGTTGAGAATGGCTTGTTGTTCGCTCCGTGTTAATAACTCTTTCTCTTTCAACAGTTCATTTCGTTCCATCTCTAACTTGCTTTTTGTTTCCAACATTAAAAGGCGTTCTTCGTTCTAAAATTAATTTTTTTTTAAAATACAATCACATCATGGAATAACGATATTATAACAGATCTCAACAGATTTTGATAATAATGTGCAATCACTGTTAACTGAATTGAAAATGAAAATTTCAAAAGCAATCTACTGTTTGAAATAACGGTAATGGTATACGTCATAAGTAATCAATGAAAAAACCAGTTGCGAGTGAACGAGATTGTGAGCACGTTAATGAACCCATTAACTATTGGTATTAAATAAAATGACAAACCACAAAATATGTAATATATTGAACCGTGTGATAGATTAATGACGAACACGTCACGGCGAGTATGATAAGTAGTAAGTATCGCTCCTGTACATAAACATTAGATCCACCGAACTTAACACTCTTCTCTGCGATACAACATTTGCACTTCCCCTCTAGAGCCCTTTATACCAGCCTATACCGAAATCACCCCGCACATCCTATTCATATGGCTCTTACGTTACAACCAATTGACGACAAATCTGTTCACAGATCACATGAACACTTTATATGTTATCCCTTTTTTCCACTCAGTTAATTTCAGTTTCAGATTTCACAGTATATGATCATAATTAAAAGGCTAGTGACAATAAAATCATGAGAGTACAAACATCTGGTTATTTTGGAAATTTAGCACCTTTTCAAGACTAAAATTTGCATCATGTTAAAACTGAAGTACTTCTGAATGACTGAAAAGTAACTGGATATTTTGTAACAGGAATAAGTATGGAACGATTGTTTTTGCGTGGCTCATAATCGAAAAATCATTGCTTAGATATAGCTGATGATGATGCCCAACGAAATTTCATTTTTAATTACAACATCGGAAACAAATATCACAACTAGCGCGATATTGAAGAAATAGTCACGAATTAATGTGGAGATGCAAAAAAGAGACTTAAAAATGATAGTCAGTATCAACATCCCAAAAACAGATCTATTCGATAATTTGAAAGAACGCAATGCAATGCGAAGGATTATTATGCTGTTCATGCGTTTCGTTGAAGTCAACTTGAAATATCTTACAATATAATGTAAAGGACTATTTGAAAAGAGCATTAAAAATTAATTTTAAAAATTGATGAACGAGGCATCAAATTGATCTATATCGCTACACAATAAGCCCATCCTCATCAACATAAGCAGTACAGCATATCGCAATTACAAATGTGAATATAAAACGATCAAGTTAAAATCTCTTATTCACTGCAATATCGCACAAAATACCTAATGACTTCTCATTTCATGAGGTAAGCAACTGAAAGGTGACTTATAATTAGCAACTCACTATTTTTAAAGAACAAATAAAATGAAACAACAAAATAAATCTCCATCCTAATAGCCTACCAATTTTCGTTCACTCTCTTCCAACTCTTTCAATTTCTTCTGTAAATTTTCTTCCAATTCAGCGCATCGTTTCTTCGACTCCTCCTAAACAAACCAATCAGATATAATATTTAACAGATATAAAGAATCACTGACAAATGAGTATTCCTTCCATCAACATACCTCTCTCTTTCTGCTCTCTTCCACTTCACGCATCATTTCTTGTTCAATTTGCACACGTAATCTTGATTCAAGTTCAGCGCGTGCCTTTGCGACGCGTTCTTGAACTAACGACTCGAGATCCGCTACACGTGCACTTACCTGCAGATCACATCTTTGAAGAAGCACTCAGATATAACAAGCACTTGACGAGTGACCAATTCAAACGAGTTATAAGCACACGAATAAATCGAACAATAATAGTGATAATCAGCTAACCGTTCAGTGGTGCTATTGTGAAGATGTTTTTGTCAATCAAGAGTATGTCCTTGATATGATTTGAAAATATGATCGATGTAATTAGAGACGAGACCGTGGCGAAGACAAAGGGATTAATGTGACCCAAACTACACGCTAATCACCAACTCGTACTTTTACTTTTCGAGAGTGTAAGCGTGATGTGTGGATAACATCAACAGTATCACTCACTATCACAAGCAAAACACTAATATCGACATCTTACGTTCAGAGTATTTCTACTGATTCATTCATAAACACAAATGATATCCATCTGTTGCACGCTTTTTTTCACGGGTGCATCATCATCAATGATCATTCATTTCACTTTCAATACAAACCGATAGGTGTTCAATTTTTGAAAATAGTTTTACTTTTCTGAATGAATTTCAACAGGTAAACCAAAATGTTGTGAACGAACAGATGTCTGTAATCAGCAACAATTAGAGGGCTGCTTCACAACCCATATTCATTGTCAGCAGTGAATACAGATACACTTGTAAAATAAGCACATTACCAAATGCACACGAGAATTAGGATACAATAATAATGAAAATATTAAAAATAATTTAGAGTGCCGAATATTCGAATTACCTGTTCAGTTACTCGCGCGTCGAGCCACTGCTTCGCTGCGTCACTCAAACTTGATACATCGAACTTCGTTGAAGGACCTAATTCACTCAGAAGAGCCGAAATTGATGTGGTTGGTGAATTGCAACTCCCACCATTTCTACAATACACCACAATGTTACAGCAATTTAAAAAAATATCCACAGTTTCTCGGATGGCGGATCATAGCTAAATGTGGTGGTTTCATTACATACCACTTGTAAAGTTGACTGAAGAGTAAAATTTTAAGATAGAAGAACGGAAACCACCACGTTTAATGAATTTGAATTGAATTTACGTGAATGTTTAAATGGTTTGTAATGAAATGAATGCATGATGGATGAATTTCCATTCCAGACCCTTAAAACAGAATACATAACCTTCATATGAATACTAATTTTTAGCATTCAACTTCATATCAAAATGAAAATGATAAATAAACATTCGAAAGAAACCTCCGTCGTTCTTTCCGAATAAGTGATTCAATGTCATCATCAGAATTCGAACGATCTGAATCACGACGTTTCCGTTTCTCTTTTTTATAACGGCGATCCCTCGAACGTCTATCGTCACGATCTCTCGACCTTGAGCGTCTTCTTCGATCACGTGATCTACTTCTACTCCGGCTTCGAGGCATTACTATCAACTAAAATTCAATTCATATCTCAAGATAAGAGGCGCTATTCACTTGCTAGTCAGTGAATATCCAGCCAAACTCAACAACCATGAAACAGTGCAGTGCATCTATAACCATACTTCATAAATCAATATTAGCGTACTTTCTATTCGGTTTCTCCGAACAGACAACGGAACCGAACACGTGACTTGTTAACTGTATATTATGCCACAATTATAAACAGTAGTTGCGAGCTGAGAAAACCCAACTTAGGCGCAGAACCGTACTGAAGGGATCTGAATACATCAATGAGTCAGAAATACCTAGTTCCGAGTGGCTTTTTTTTAGTTATACACCGAAAAATGCAAATCGAAAAAATGTAAATATGCAAAAATTCGAATCAATGGCAATGTAACTGTGATGCATTGAAAATGTGCAGAAGGCCATTCGCACACCAAAGGCCATTTGTTCCTACGTAATATGTGTAATAACTGATTAACAAAATATGTGTATTTAAGATTTACGAGGCTGTCAATGACAACAAGATGATGTTAAAAAATTCTTCGATCAAGATGATTCAAATGAAGCATTTATTTGGGAAAACTTCAACTTGCAGCAGTTCGAGGCCACTTATGTCCTTACTTGCGCACTTCCTTCATAGAAGAATATCGCTACTTGTACAGCAGAGGGGCGACATATACGGACGCACGGAGATATCACCAGATTATTAGGTACGCCCATCCGACGATGATGAGGCTACGTGTATGTCTCCGCGCTGTGTCGCCCCTGTGCTGTACAAGTACCAGAATATCATTCGAAGCAGAATATCAACAATAAAAGATGTTCGGTCACGCAACATTCTCGAGGCATTAGGTCACAACAGCAACAGATCAATGAAATTGTAGTCCACAGACACAGTGAAGAGTTGTAACATTCCTTATTACGCTCACGTCACTCGTAAACGAATTTGCCGTGAACCGATTTCAAAAACGAGTTGAACGCGGAATAAAGTTCAGCGAGTAGTACTTCAGTTGACTTCGATCATCCCGAATACAACTGACACAAGCATTTATCGATTCTTCGTAAACGATTGCATCACAAGCAAGAGCAGTGATGAGCGAACATCAATTCTTCATCAAAGGGCAATGGAAAACGTTGCCAACCAATGGATCGGCGTGCGTGCGCTTGCAGGGGAAAAGCATACAAGAGANGAGAAGAGTGGTGATAAGTAGAGAGAATGAAATGACGACTATCACCGAAAGATCGAATGAACATTGTGTGGTACACAACAATTCTAACCACCACACGCCAAAACGGCTACCTGATAGAGGACTGAGACTTATATCAGGATCTGTTCGTAGTTTGAAAATCCTCTAAAATTTTTCCGTATAGTGTGCCTCTGAACTGTCCCAGTTCGTGAGGAACCCTGCCTTTTCCCTATTGTAATATTTCTTGAATTATTATAGCGATTACTGATATTCGAAATACAATCATTGATGAAGGGATCGAAAGTTCATGAAAAGGCGTTCGTATCTGGAATGGTATGACAACATCTAGGAACGTTTTTGGAAGGTTAAATCTCCTAAGATCACAGCCATTTAAAATCTTGATTGGTGTGTGTTTATAATGAAATAATACGCTGCTTACATTCGCACATTTCTCACACGAAATGAACAGACAGATCTATGGATTACTGAAACTGGAAAGAAATTTTTTTCGGAACCGGAGAAAAGCAGTCGAAACGATCATCATCTGGAATCGGAATTTGAAAAACTTGGGAGGCCGGAACACGGAATTTCCGAAAGACGGGAATCGAGAAGTGCTGTGAAACTGAAAGCGCTCTTGATGCTCGCTTAGCAAAAATCTGACATCAGTTTTGCGATATATGGTGATAAATTTTTTATGAAATACTGACTGAAAACAATGAAGCAACAGAAATATATCCCAACATAAGTTTTCACCAAATAAAAGATAAGGAAGTTTTGAAAGTTGAAAGTCTCATGCAGATTATGCATACTGTTATGATTCGAGGACATGAGATCTTCCATAAAAGTGTTTCTTAAATTTGAACGATTTTTCAGTTCAACAGAACAGACTGACATCAATGTAAAAATCATCGTACTGAAATTTAAGAGTCCATAATCATATCACAATGAAATATTATATGAAATAACAAAACATCTATTGAACAGCAAGCAAACACGTAGTCACATTTGTATATATAATATATGAAAAAATGATTGCTGCTTCTTAAGTTGTCCCAGTTAAGCGGAAAAAAACAACTGAGCTAGAGAAACTGGAAAAAACCAGTTTGACGACTCAAATCGGCAAGCTCATTCCTGACAGGTAGGTGGTAGATCATATCTGCCGATTTTCAATCGCTGATTCGTCATTAGCGCTGAAATTACC